TCTTCTGTTTTTATATTTTCTACCTCACTTCTTTCTTCTATCCTATACTCCTCTTTCTTTTTCTCACACATATCTCTGTATTCTTTCCTTTTTCTTATATATCTCTTATAATCCTCCTCCTCCTGTGTTTTCCTATATTCTCTTCTGCTTCTATGCGCCTCTCTCTTCTTCCCTCTACACTCTTCGTCCCACCATAGGACCCATCTCAGCTCTTTTCTTTTTCCTCTCTTCCTCTCTGGTATACACTTTTTTATCTCCCTTTCCAATTCCTCCCATTCCTTTTCTACCTCTTTCTTTTTCCATTGCACTTTTTCCATTTTTTCTCTATATTCTTCTTCTCCTTCTTTCGTCCAACTCTGTACTTTTCCTTCACTTTCTTCTTCTTTTATTTCTTTCCTTTTCCACTTTACTGTCCATTTCATTATAATTGGCTGATGATCCGATTCTACTCTATCTCCTATCTCAAATCTCTGTATCCTCTTTTCTGCTTCCCAATTTACTATTCCGTAATCTATAACCGACCTTTTTCCATCTTTTTCATATGTCCATTCCCCTCTCTCATCTTCCTCTTTTTCTCCGTATAGTACCAGCCATCCTCTTTCCTCTATCATTTTTATCAGTTCTTTTCCTTCTTTATTCACCTTACAATCTTTCGACTTTCTTCCTTCCTCTATCTTGTCTATTTCATCTTCTTCCCATCCCCCTCCTCCTCCTATCCTCGCATTAAAATCTCCCGCTATTATAAGATTATCTTCTTCCTCTTCTCTTATCATTTCTTTCAATTGCTCTAACTTCTCTTTCCTTCTCTATTATAAACTGAAATAATCCTCCATTTTTCCTTCTCTACCTTTATTCTTCTTTCCTGTATACCTTCCCTCTCCTCTGTATCCACCCCTCCTCTTCTATCCCCTCCCTCACCCCTGTTATTATCCCCCCCCATAGTTCGGCCTTTTTTCTTCTCTCTCTTTGCTTCTTGATATCTCCATTTCCACCCTTTCGGCAATCGTTGCTTCATATTCTCCCACTCTTTTTCATCCACCCATGTCTCCAATAACCCCACTATATCAAATTCTTCTATGTATTTCCAAAATTCCGTTCTCTTATTTTTAACCCCTGCTACATTCCAAAATATCCCTATTATTTCGTTCTTCTTTACTCCTACTGTCTTTTTATGCTTCTCCCCTCCCTTTTTCTTCTCATTTTCTTTTTTCTTTACACTGTGAGCACTTCTTGAAAACCCTTCTCTCTCATTCTTTTTTCACAATCATCCCATACATACTCTTTTCCATTCATCACCACTTTTCCATATTTCACTCTCGCATTCATTCCATCTTTTCTCCTATCATTCGCCCACACTCTCAATCTACTCTGTCTCTCTCTTTCATATTTCGTTAGGTCATCATCAATATACACATTCGTTCCTCTCAGCTTCGCTCTATTTCTCATGATCACTGATTTTTCCTCTGTACTACTTATTTTCGCTACAATTATCTCGTTCCGTATCTTAAAC